TTATTAGAGCTCAAGCCTGAGGCAGCAGGCCAGAAACGTGAACCCTGACCCTTTGCCCAGCAGGGTTTTTATAGGGAGCATGAAGCAGAGGGAGGGGCCATTACAGCATTGGTTGTGTGGGGTTATGTGATTGGTTGGCGATTTGAGGGTGAATCCTGAACTAAATTGCTTCCCACTAGACTTGGGGGGTTAACCAGTCAGGGCCCTCTGACCTCTTGGTCTGTGCTGATAATGTTACATTGTCTTGGAGCAGGCTCTAACACTTATCCTCCAGTAAACAGATGACAGATGTTTTCCTTATAGTTTCCTTACTGCCGAACCTATTTGTGGTCTTTCAGCAATATGATCTGTGCACAAACACATCTGTCTGTCTGTCTATATGTAAACAGTTATGGTTTCAAGATTACCAAGTATTCTGCTTGCTAAAAAGAAAATCCGTTGTCATTGGAAGCTGTGATTTAATCTGAGTTGGGTTTTTTGGTTTGTCAATTTTGAGACCTGACTACAATCTAAAGAAAAACAGGCAGTTTTAAAAGGCCTTGGAAAAGAAGTTAGAAAAGATGGTTTCCTTTGCAAGGTAAATGAAGTTGGTAATTATGTTGGTTGTGATTTATGTCATTCTTTATGTCCATCTATGCTAAAAGTTAAATATTGCACCTCTGACCACGGCTGGTAAACTAAGGCTAAGGTTCTGTTTCTCCATTTTCTCCCCTGTGCACCGATCAACTCTCTTTAAGATCAAGGAACCAGAGTGACTCAAGATGCATTTTGTTCCTGTGCATGGTAAATGCCCAGGAAACAGAACAAAGTTGCCACAGCTGCCTAAACCAGTGGCATCAGCCTGCAAAAGCCAGTGTGAACTAGGTCTGTAACCAGTGTATAGAATTTTGCAGGTAACCAGCGGGAGGTGGACAATCCATACACACTAGGAGATGGGACATCTCGCCCAGACTCTGGCCTTGCTCTGTCACACATGAGCAAAAGCCTGCTAATTTGGGGTAAAAAGAGAAAGATTATTATAAGGTTTATTAGAGGAGCCATATTTCCCCCCAGAGGGAGCACATGGCATGGCCTCATGCATGCAAGGCAAGCGCTCTACCACTGGACACCTTCCCAGCCCCTTTTCACCTTTTTGAATAGACTGCTTATGGCTTAAGTATCTGCACTCTACCACCTTAGTTAGTCTCCAAACACTGCACCTATACTGATTATATCTTTCTTTTGACACACACAGCTTTTTCTGAGTAATAAATCAGCAATATATTTTCTATAATCTTCCAAGCAATATATCTGTTCAATTTCAATGCATTCCTTTAACATATTTGGAATGCTTTTCATTTGTCTCCTATCGTCATGCCTCCAGCTACTAAGTTCAGTTCTCTATCAAACTCTCCCTGAATTGTTTTAATTAGCAATTAACTGGTTTTGCTGTTTGATATGTCCTAAACACAAAAATTGGATCATACCTATTTGTCAAGAAACTAATGGCTGGTTGTGGTGGCTCACCCCTGTAATCCTAGCTACTCTGGGGGCTAAGAACTGAAAATCTAAGCCAGCCCAGGCAGGAAAGGCCAAGAGACTCTTATCTCCAGTAAACCACTAAGAAAACCAGAAGTGGTGCTGTGGTGCAAGTGGTAGAGCACTAACCTTCAGCTGAAGAGCCGAGGGACAGCACCCAGGCCCAGAGTTGAAGTCCCATGACTGGGCAAAAAAAAAAAAAAAAAAATTAAAAAGAAATATATCCTTCAATGGCTCCCTACAAGTGAATTAGTTCAAAGTCCTTTCCTTAACAACATCTACATATACTTAAGTAAATGGAAATTATACTTTTGGTATAAGCTTATATGCAAAGGTCCTGTTCCATTCTATGCTAAAGCTAATTCCTATCCACACTGCATTGTTAGTATTCCTGCCATTACTCTCCAATAGCCTTTAACATGTAAGTGCTGTATATGAATTTGTACTGTCTTTAGGTTAGTATTGGTTATTTTTTTCATCAGTTTATTTCCCAAGAGTTCTGTTTAGGCTGATAATTCTTAAGCAGGAACAATATGGGGATTGACATACAATTTTGTTTAAGAAATCTAGCAGATATTAAGATGTTAAAACTCCTAATTTAGTTTAATATTAAAGGGACTTAATAATCTTTTGTGGTAGTTCTTTTTTCATATCCGCAGTCTTTTATTCCTAACTCATGGGCTCAGATCATCTTCCCATCGCAGTCTCCTCAATGGCTGGGACTATAGACTAGGTACTAGGTGTTCAACACTCTACTAAACTGCGTAATTCTTTAAGCACTTTAATGCATGAATGATTTGGTAGAGTGAATTTGGAGCATCTAGTTGGACATGGTGGCTCATGCTTGCAATCCTAGCTATGTTGGAGGCTTAGATCAAAAGGATCACATTTCAAAGCCAGCCTAGGCCAAAGAAAAAACAGGTTGTGAAATTCCATCTCAGTGGAAGAGGGTGAGCATGGTGATGTGCACTTGTCATCCTAGTTATTGTGGGAAACATAAAGTAGTAAGACAATCATGGTAAGACCCTGTCTCAAAATAACCAGGACAAAAAAAGGTCTGGAGGCATGGCTCAGTAGAGTATCTGCCAAGCAAATCACAAAGCTCTCAATTCAAAGACAGTACCACTCATTAAAAAAAAAAATTAGAGGCTCTGTTATTTATCAAGAAGTTTTTAAAGTATTGAGATTATTTCTTCAGTTGCTTTTCTTCCCCCCCCCCTCCCCTTGTGCTGGGGATCAAGTCTAGAGTTTATTGTGTATGATAGGTAAGTGCTCTATGACTGAGCCATACCCTAAGTTTCATTCAGTTATTTTCTATCAGTTCTTCTAATGGCCATGGTGGAATTGAAGGGGAAAAACAACAAAAAGCAATGTAGCGCTTAACTGGACAAATAAACCAAATGAATTATAATTTTGTCATTTTAAGTACTGATAAAACAGATTTATTTTCATCACCAAAGCAAATGCTCCTCTGATTTTTGTGACAATGATTTCTGAATTATTTATGACTAGAAAGCAATCACTATGCAGGTAGAAGAAAAGTGCAGAAAAAAACAACTAGAAGAAGAACAAAGAAGGAAGGAAGAACAAGAAGAAGAGCAACACTTATCACGGGAACGAGAAAAGATGCAGAAATAGTATGAAGAGGATATACTTAGGCAAAAAGAAAAGGAAGTGGGTATTTACATTTAACTGTTAGCATTTTACAATTAATAGTATATGTTTTCAGAGGAATAATAACTTTGAAGTTACTGACGCTTGATCTCAGGGCCTCTTGCTGTCTTGGCTTTTCCCCTTAAGGCTGGCACTCTACCACTTAAGCCACACCTCTATTTCCAGCTTTTTGCTGGTTAATTGGAGAGGAGTCTTTTTTCCCCAGGCTGGCTTTGAACCAAGATGCTAAGATTTCAGCTTTTTCAGTAGGTAGGATTATAGGCATGAGCCACATCCAGCACTACGAGTTGTATTTTGAAGTGGTGAAATACAAGTGGAGGCATTAAAATTTTGAATAAGAAATTGTGAAAATAAGAGAGACTATAAAAATGTTTTATTTTTTCACATGATAAAGTTCTCAAATGCTGTATTAACTGGCCTTTGTGCGAATGGAGGAGGTCAAGATGAATTATAGCATAATGCTAGTCATGCATATATGTGATTGTTATCTCCTACATATTAGAGGTGTGTATACTTCATTTGTAAACCATGATTGTAATGTAATTCTGTATAGAAATGATGGGCATTTCTATCCTTATCTACCAATGAAAAAAGAAGCTCCTTTTGCAAAATGGTTGGGATTGATGAAACAATCGGTGGCTGTATTCGTAGTCCTTTTGCTAAAATAAGAGCCAATTCAAATCGGTGGCTGTATTCGTACTCCATTTGCTAAAATAAGAGCCAATTCAAAGAGAGTATCTCAATAGCTAGGGGAGCTTTTCTATTAAATGATTTAGATACAGGAAGTAGAGTGTTGTCAGGTGCCATGATTGAGCCAACTCACAAAGAGCAATCATATAGTGGCATTCAGTTTCCAAAGACTAAAAGTTTAGCAATACAATAGTTTCTTATCTTTTCCCACTTGGCACTCAATGAATATTGGCTGGTAAAGGGACATGTGGTGTAGGTTCCCATTTCATTGACTTAAGTCATCTAAGGCTGCAACGTTGATGTGACAGCACAAGAAGTCCATAAATACTGTATTCTTTGAATATTTATGATAATCACAAGGATCCAGACAAGTGTCTGATATCCAGGAAAGCTTATGGAATGCTGGGAGTAGTCAATTTAATAACCATATACCTGACTATGTTGGTAGGAAATCATGACTCTCAAGACAAATGAGCTATACCAAAAAATGCAGAGAGCACAGGAGTTAGCACAGAGACTGAAACAAGAACAGCGAATCCGAGAATTGGCTCAAAAAGGACATGATACTTCTAGATTGATGAAAAATCTTGATGGCAAGTGATTAACCAGAACTTCATAATTTTTGAACATGATTTTAACCATTTGTCTATTTCTAACATTATTTCACAATAAAAAATTTTTTAAGGAACTTCAGCTCTTCAGCTAATCTAACTTTATTAATTGGAGTGCTTTTAGGAAATAATCTTAGAAGTAGAGTTAAGTAAGTTTTCAGTATCTTTTTACACATAAGTTTTGCTTACATATTATCTATAGCAATCATGACACTGATAAAATAAATTTGTATGCATTTTTACAAAGAAAGCAGTTACTGAGGGGCTGGGAAAGTGGCTCAGTGGTAGAGTGCTTGCCTTGCTTGCATGAGGCCCTGGGTTCCATTCCTCAGCACCACATAAGCAGAAAAAGCTGGAAGTGGCGCTGTGGCTCAAAGTGGTAGAGCGCTAGCCTTGAGCTGAAGAGCTGAGGGACAGCGCCCAGGCCCAGAGTTCAGGCCCCAAGACCGGCAAAAAAAAAAAAAAAAAAAGGAAAACAGTTACTGAGTGATCTCTGTAAATCCAGTAATGGGTAAGAGTGCAAGAACTTTTTAATGAAATTTTGATTGCAGCATTCATTCTGAGTAAAGTCCTGTGTTTAGTTACTGTACTTTTTTTTCACTACTGAATCAGACCTAGTCTTGCAAGGTAGGCAAGAACCACCACTAAGCTACAATCCCAGTCTCCTACACATAATTTCTCTTAATAATGCTGTATGTCATTTGAAAAATATTTTTTCCTATTACCAGTAGATGCAATGCAAGTGGATAAGGTGTCCCCTAAGATTTCAAGTTCAAGACATGACTCTGATGAAGCTGGCAGCAAAATAAATACTTGTATCAGTTCTACTACTTCTCCCAAGAAAGATACTGGTGTGCAAACAGGTATTCATATTGAAAATTTTATTTGAAATTTCCTTAAGGCCAAAGCATTAGCACTGAGTTCCATTTTAAGTGTAAAACTTGCTATTTATGAGAAAATAAAATGATCTATTCTTTTTTTTTTTCAATGATACTGGCTTGAACTCTCCACCATAGCCTTTTGCTTGTTAACTGGAGATAAGGAATCTTATACAGACTTTTCTGCCCTAGTTGCCTTTGAGCCGTGATCCTCCAGGTATCACAGCATCCTGAGTAGCTATGATTATATATAAGACTGAGCCCCCAATGCAGCTCTTGGTTTTTAATTTTTTGTCCTAGGTTTATTTCAGATGAGTCACAAATTTACCGCCCCCCCACCCCGCACCCAGGACCTTACAGGTTTAGCAAACGGTTTACCATTGAGCGACAGCTCCTACACAAAACTTACCCTTTAATGGTCATAGTTAGCATTTTTCAGTATATTCCTAATAATTGAGCAGTCACCATAATTATAGATCTTTTCCCTCACTCTGATCTAGTTAGCAGAGGAATCTCTTCATTTTCTGGTTTGCTTGTTCTGCACATTTCATGTTACTAGAATGAAAATGTTTTTTTGTGTCTGGCTACTCTGCTTTAGTTTAATGGCAGTAAGTACATTATTCCTGAATAGTATTCTGTTGTATGTATAATACATTTTGTTCTTCATGATTTGATGGACGTTTATTTGTACTCTTGGGCTATTGTGAATAATGTTGCTTTGACCATTCATGTACAGATTTTGTGAAAAAAGAAAAACAGAATTTCTGGATCATGTGTTAATTCTTCCAAACTGTCCAGACTCCAAAGCAGTTGTCCAGCCATCAATATAATAGGGTTCTAATTTCTCCTTGTGATTGCCAACACTTGTTATATGGGGGGCATATTAAGTGGTTCTGAATTGTATTTCCCCACGAATTGTATTTTATGAGCATCTTTTCATGTCTGGTTTTCAATTCAAATCATCAGGCAATGTCTTGGGTTGGAAGTCAGTGGGTTTTTTACCCCCTCCCCACTCTCCTTGGTGGCCCATGCCCTGTAATCTTAAATATTTGGGAGGCTGAGTCTGGAATACAGTAGTTCAAAGCCAGTCTGGGCAGACAAGTCCCCAGGACTCTTATCTCCAGTTAACCAGCAAAAAACTAAAAGTGGAAATGTTGTTGAAGTAGTAGAGTGCCATCTTTGAACAAAAAGGCCAAGCAGGGGCATAAAATCCTGATTTCAAGCCTCAGTACTAGCACAAGAAAAAAGAAAAAGTAAGGCCTCAAAAACAGTGTATTCATAGCCTCAATGATTATGGTAGTAAAAAGTTGTATGTAGTATATAGTGGAATTAGCTTTAGTAAGAAATTGATACATGCTATTGACTAAATGTTATGGCAAGTGTTTAAGCCATTTACAAAACAATATAACTCCATTTACTGGGGTATTATCTATAGTAGTGAATGTCTAGAAACAAAGTAGCATACTGGTTGCCACTGGGGCAAGTAATGAGAGGTGGGTAGTTTCAGTTTTAAAATTAGAATTCTTAAAGTGTAACTAATAAAATTGTTTAACATTTGAGAAAAATGATAGAAGGGGTAAACTTTTATATGTCTGTTTAAAAAGTCATAATCTTTTTTTAGATGACTTAATTACAAGAAATTTCACTAACACATTATCACACTGTGGATCAGTGATTGAAAGGGAAAATACACATTGTTCTTCTCCCCCGAGTTCTGTAGAATTTGATGGACAGCTTAACACTATGAAAGACAAGCAAGAACTAGAAAAAGAAAATAGCTGGTTTAATGAGCAATGTAAACAGTCTATAACAGAGAAACAAACAAAACTCATGAAGAAGTGTCCCACAAGGCCTACTTGGAATATAAATAAGCCTCTCAAAATGTATGTTCCAGCATCAGAAAAGTACCCTAAGCAGCTTCAAAAGCAGAGAGAAGAAAAAAAAGTAAGAAGACAGATGGAACTGCTTCAATTGGTAGAGAAAAATAATTCTGAACACCTTTCTCAAAATAGAGGCACTTCACCAGAAGATTTTCATTCATCCTATCCAGAAACAGAGTCAAAAACCAGGTGGAATGTAATGAACAAAATAAAGCTCCTCTTTCTTATTTTTAAACATGCATGAATCTCTAAACTCAAAACACAAATCTCAGCTGGGAATGTGGCTTGATGGTAGAGTGCTTGCCTAGCATGCATGTAGCCCTGGGTTCGATTCCTCAGCACCACATAAGCAGAAAAAAAAAAAGCCGGATGTGGCGCTGTGGCTCAAGTGGTAGAGTGCTAGCCGTAAGCTGAAGAACTGAGGGACAGCACCCAGGCCCAGAGTTCAGGCATGACCAGACTCCATCCCCCCCCCAAAAAAAGAATCTCAAAAGCAAGCTGGGCTTGGTGCATGCGAGCTACATGCAGATAGTAGTAAGGATTTCAGTCGGAGAGTAGCTAGGTAGAAATAAAACCCTATCTGATAAGGTAAAGAAGCAAAAGGGCTGGTGTGAGGTAGAGTGTAGGGTAGAGTGAGCACTTGGCTACCAAGCTTTAGGCTCTTAAGTTCAATACCCAGAACCATCACAAGCAAACATTTAAACTTCAAGAAACCTGTTTTAGCCAGGTATGGTAGTATACATCTGTAATTTGTTTCACCACTTGGGAGGCGGAGGCAGGATTAGGAGTTCAAAGCCAGACTGCAGGGCTGGGAAGGCAGCACAGTGGTAGAGTGCTTGCCTTGCATTTATGAGGCCCTGGGTTCGATTCCTCAGCACCACATAAGCAGAAAAAGCCAGAAGTGGCCCTGTGGGTCAAGTGGTAGAGCTCTAGCCTTCAGCTGAAGAGCTGAGGGACAGTGCCCAGGCCCAGAATTCAGGCCCCACAACCGACCAAAGGAAAAAAAAAAAGCCAGACTGCACTAAATAGCCAGATACATACATATACAATAAATAATAACAAAAAATCCTTGTTTATAATCCATATAAGCAACCAATTGGAAGATAAGAATTTTTTATTTGACTGTGAAAAAATACCTTTATCATCAACATTAGAAATAGATTCAAGTAACATAAGTATGTGGTTTCACTTGAAAATGCCATAGACTGGGCTGGGAAGGTGGTTCAGTGGTAGAGCGCTTGCCTTGCATGCTCAAGGCCCTGGGTTCGATTCCTCAGCACCACATAAGCAAAAAAAAAGCCGGAAGTGGCGCTGTGGCTCAAGTGGTAGAGCACTAGCCTTGATCTGAAGAGCTGAGGGACAGTGCCCAGGCCCAGAGTTCAGGCCCCACGACCGGACCCAAAAAAAAAAAAAGAGAAAAAAATCTTGTTTATAGTCCATATAAGTAACCAGTTGGAAGTTAAGGAATTTTTTTATTTGACTGTGAAAAAATACCTTTCTGATCAACATTAGAAATAGATTCAAGTAACATAAGTACATGGTTTCACTTGAAAATGCCATAGACTCTTTTCTATACTTCCATATCCTTTTAGGAAGAAGAACCTAGGAAAATTAATTCAATCAGTGAAGAAAGGTATGTGCATTACTTTTATAGGTATATTCACTTTATGTTTGATTCTTAAGAGGTACAGAACACATGCTCCATGTCTACTAAGGTTAGGCATAAAGGTGAAGATAAAAATGTGAAAGGAGGAGTTACCAGATGAAGGTTAGTAGTTTAAGGGATAAAAGGTTAGTAGTTTAAGGGATAGGTTTTGGATGGACTGGGATTAAGAAAAACCTATGGCTAGGGCTGGGAAGGTAGCTCAGTGGTAGACTGCTAGCTTTGAGCTGAAGAGCTGAGGGACAGCGTCCAGGCCCAGAGTTCAGGCCCCACAACCAGACCAAAAAAAAAATATGGATGACATTCTCCTATCTTCAGGTTTAGCTAAACAGTTTTTACTTATCTCAGTATGACCAGTGAAACAGGCATTATGCTTGGATTGAATCAGGAAGAAGTAATTGGGAAGATAGTAACTTTTTAACTTCTTAATCTGTCTTTTGTGCATGCATAAGCCAGCTGGTTTAGAGTTGCTTCATGTTGGGCTTAGTTCAGGTGGTGAGGACATTAATTTATGAAAAATTATCTAAGGAGAAATGAGACTTGTTAGCCCAGATAGAATTGTAATTTAATTCTCTCCTTTGTATTGAGTACATACATGTAGCTAGTAAAAATTCCAATGAACACCCTTTTCTTGCCTTGTTTCATAAATGAAACTTTTAGACTTTAGGCTTCCTTCCATGATATTCCTAAAGGTGTAATTACATTTCAAATCATTAGAGATATAATTAATTCAAGAGATATGTTTATTTTAAAAACAAAATTTCTTATTCAAGCTTTTTGGTCTGTTGTGCCTTTTTTTTAAAAAAAATAGGTTACAGTCATCACTAGTTCCAGCAATAAAAACGGAACCCAACAAACTCAGATGGATAGCTTACACTCACCACTAAAAAATAGCCACAAAAGAGAAAGTGTCAGAAGATGGTGAAACACCTGGAGTGTTTGAACCATCCCATTTTATTCCTTATGTTCGAACAAATGAGATATATTACCTGGATCCAGATGCACCCTTGTCTAGGCCTTCGACTGATCATGGCAAGTAAACCACATATTGTAGATCTAGGAACCCCCAACCCTAAATTCACTTCTAAATAATTCCTACCTGTAGTTCTACAAAGCATCTCAGCTGCACTTTATAAATCTTTAAGACTTTTAGAGTATGTATGTGAGGCTTTCTAGGAAATAAATTTACTAATGAATCTTACAGCAAACTATTTAGAAATATATTTGGCTTTTATAAATTTTGTCTGGTTTCAGATTGCAACCAAGAGCAACGCCTTGCTCTTGGTTCTGTCAGGGATCCACTTCTTAATCCTAACTTGGTAAAGAACAGGGATCGACAACAAGCAATTCTTAAAGGACTTTCAGAACTACGACAGGTATGAGATTTAAAACAAAATAAAAATAAGAATATATAGATGTGTGTGTTCTTTACATGTGGATGTGACATTAGGGCAGTTTGCATGGCTAATTGCATTTTAGCTTCTCTAGTTAATCTCAAATAAAAAGGGGACTTCCTTTGGATTTCCTTTCCATCTTTACAAATATTTTTTGGTGTGATGGTGTACACATGCAGCACCTAAGAGGCAAGGAGGATCACAAATTCAAAGACCCTGTCTCACAATTTTTTTTAGTATGAAATCATGAGACAGTCATTATACTGAGATAATTTTATTATTAGGAAATGTGTACATTTAAACATCCAAACATGATCAATAAGGCCCTAAAACCAAAGACAAAATATATGTGCTGTCAGCTTAAAACAGTGTTGTCTGTCCCAAAGAATGTAGTTGAGTATGAAATGATTGGGTCTAAATAGGCTCACTGGACATTTTCCCACCACAATTATTAGAGCCATGCTCTCCCGTTAAACAGGTTAATATCTACTATTTAAGATATAGTAACTTTACATCATCTTTGAAGCTTATAACTGGACTTTAGTTCCAAGTTGGGTTTTTTTAAATAAACTTTTTTTAAGAGTCCAGTCATATTCTAGTGTGTTAACATCTCCTCCCCCCCCACCATTTATTTTAAGAAGTTGGTCACGTGTTACCCATTATTTCCCTTTCTAAAACTAGAAAATCATTCCATACTTTACTTCCGGTTTTACTCATTTGAAAGACTTTGTGAAGTACCCTTAAATGTACCTATGAATTAACTCCTAAAGTATTGAGGAAGGAGTACAATGTACATAAACCCACCAATATAGTGCCGACGCTTACTTTAGCAGAGCCAAACAATGCATGTTTCATTTTTTTTTTTCAGGGACTTCTTTAAAAGCAAAAGGAGTTGGAAACTAATTTCATGTCTTTAGCTACAAATCAAGAAGAGAGTTTTAGTTCTTCATTTTAAATGTTGGAAGTCATTTTTGTCTTCTCAACAGTGCTCATTACTCAACTATTTTTTAATAGCCTAATTGGATTTCTTTTCTAAAAACTCATGTAAAACATGCACAATATGTAATAAAATGCTGTGATTTTTTAAAAAGTTAATAAAAGACTTTTTGTAAATAAAATAAAATTTGTAAAAAACATAGTAAATTTTTTTCTGTTGCTTCAGTCTGGTCATTTAAAAATCCTATAGATACTTTCTACTTACCATAAAGTCTGGAGTTGCTGTTTAAGCTGTTGTCTTTCACGAACTCTTGAGGTTAATAGAACTACTAAAAAATTAACCAAGAGTGTGGTGGCTTATGCCTTACAGACAGCTAAGATGTAAGGATTTCAGTTCAGAGGACAACCTTGAGTGAAAAAGCCAAGTGAGAGAACAAGGCCCTGAGTTCAAACCCTAATATGGGCACCAAAATAAATAACTAACTCTTCACTTTTACTAAATATCAAAAATTGCATTAAGGCTATTTTTTATAGCATTTATTTTCGAAACTACAGTTTCTAATGAGCTACCAGGTAGTAATTTATAGGCAGTAACTATTTTTTTTGGGGGGGTGTGTCCGATTGTGGGGCCTGAACTCTGTGCTTGAGCTCTGCCACTTGAGCCACAGCGCCACTTCCGGCTTTTTTCTTTTTGCTTATGTGGTGCTGAGGAAGCGAACCCAGGGCCTCAGGGATGCAAGGCAAGCGCTCTACCACTGAGCCACCTTCCCAGCCCCAGCAGTAACTCTTATCTGTTAATTTATTAGTACAGCACTATGATTTAGTAACTGGTAATTAATTATACTAAGAGCCACATATAAAATGTAGTCCCAGTTTTAAAACTGTTTTCAAATTATCCTGTGCCTTTGGTAAAAACAGGTGCTAATTATTAAAATTCAAAACAAGAATCACAGAAGCTCTGAAAATCCTAATTCCCCAGAAACTTCAGAAAATAATGCTGCTTGATATTATTATATACATAAGTTTATTACCTAGATAAAATTGCATTGTTAGATACATCTTGAGATACAGAACCAAAATCCTATAAATATTAACAGCAATGGCTTAGACCTGTGTAAACACTATACAAAGGCTTTATCTAAAATAAATAGTTGACAATTTGTTTCAGCAAAATCTGACATGAGAGAAAATAAAAGTAAAGCCATTGCTGTTTACTATATTTCTATTAATATCTAATTTTACATAGAAGATAGCCTTCAATTTGAAGTGCAACTACAGGTAACAAATGTAAAACATAAAAAGTGCCAACATGAGATAATTCAAGTACAATTTGTTAAAAAATATATATTTATTTCAGTTTTTAGATGCTTCAGATGTTACAGGCCATCATGATTTAAATATGAGGGAAAAACATTTTAGAAAGGATAAGAACCTTTTGTTTAAAGAATGAAATATAAATTGTTCATTCACTTTTAAGAAACAAAGTACACAATAACCTATAAAAAAAACAATCATTTTTTTCCCCTTAACTTAATGGAGATTTCTCTCTAGTGAAGCTTTTGTAAGAAGATATAATTTTTCATTTTCTTGAGACTGATTTGATGAAAGGGCATATGGTGTCCCCAAAAATGTCTGATGAGTAAGAACATTAAAATGACTAAACTGATGGGACACATTTAATTCATTATGATAAACCCAAGAATGGCTATATGAATCTTGTTCTGAATTGCTGTCCTCTCCTTCAGAGCATACTATATGAATAGGAGCTCTCTCTTCACAATCAATTTGGTAAGTCTTATCTTCTAATAAACTTTTTTGCACGTCTAGAGACGATTGCAATTCAATTTGAATATTCTTTTTTTGATCTGTTCCACTTGATCCTTTGGTCTCTTTCGCCAATATTTCTGAATGAAAACTGCTGAATACTTCTATATGTGAGATTTCATCCCCTGAATCCAGAGACATATCCTCTTCGTCCTTTTCATCGTTTTCTAAAAGAGCTACATTTAAAAAACAAAAAGTCCTCCTCTATTGAAATACACGGTATGTTTAAGTTTTAAAATTATACACTACTCACACAATATAATGCGTCAGGATCTGCAAGTCCACAATCCCTTAAAGCTTGGTCTTCTGCCACAAGTTCACTTAGTCACAACACTCACACTAGATGTGAATGTCCAGATAATCCGATGCTACAAGCTTCTGCGAAATGTGTTCACGTTTAATGTTGGGAAATCCCAACTCCCAGCTCCAAAGGGGTTAATGTCAAAACAGCATCTAAAGTTATACGGTAATTCAGTATTTCATAAGACAAATATAAAATAAAAGTTTTGACATGTAGCTTTATTGAATTAGTAAATTGGTTAGCTCTATTGAATGTTCGTTTGATTATCTCTGCTTTTTAAAAACAATTTTAAGTACAGCCTTCATTTTACATAAAGTCTGGAACAAAAGCAGAGGCCATCTCTTCACCTCTTCTGTGAGATGACTGATCTTTCTGTGAGATGACTGATCTTTCTGTGAGATGACTGATCTGTACTGTCTTGTAATTAAATTGATTCCTACAGAGGAAGATTTAGTACCCCAAAGCTGAATCCCTATATCTGGGCTTTCTACTTTTCTTAATTGAAACCCTTCACTGACAGTAACAGTCAATAAAATTTACATACCTTCAAAGATAAAGGTATATTTCAAAGTATGCATAGTCTACAGTACAGACAAATGCACACAACTTTTTAACAATAATACAGTATAATAAATGAGCAGATCTTGTACATGCTGTCTTATAATGGCAAATGCCTCAAAATACTTCCCCTGTTTTTACACTGGAGTGAATGGTTTCAAGGTATTTCAGTGTGACTAACAAAACCATTCTCTCTACCTTAAAGTAAATGAAAGCTGCTGAAAAGTTACCTGACTGGGACTCAAGATTCTCAGTAGCACCAAGCGATGGGACATTTTCTTCTGGGATTAAGTTGTGATAGCCCACAAGATTTTTGAAGTTTTGCATAAAGTCTTCAGTAGTTGCAACAACTATTCCATTTTCTGGGTAGTTGGAAAATATCTTGATATTCTTCTCTAAATTAAAAAAAAAGTTTCAAGAATATAGCATTTGTAAATATATACAATTGTAATAAATACATCTTCTACTATATATTATAAATATAGCATTGTACATGGACAATAATGTCTGCCCAGTGTTCAACAAGCCTCTCTCCTCCACATGTTCAGAATCAACCACAACCATTCATGCTCCTCAAAATCCATCTACATTCCTTTATTGTAGTAGAAAGCTTAAGAATACCCTCTACCTGTTAAAAAGACGATATGTCGTTGTTGTATGTTTTGAGCCTGAAGTCTGATAAGGCAATCCAATTCTGGAGCATTTCGAGTTTGTGAATCACAACTGTGGTATGATAAAATTTCAACTAAATGTTTCTTCTGATAGACATTCAGAAGTGTTAACAGACTAAGAGCTTTGGCATTTAACCTGTGAAAGTAAGCACAGCTTGTTACCTACATTTGCACTTACAGGCAAACCCATATGTGTGTGTGTTGTTGGTATAGGTACCTAAATCTCAACCAGGAATTTATTTAATAAATTGCATATTTTTAGTTTTATGATTTGAACCTTAAGGAAAAACATATAAGAAAGAACTTTCTGTACTGCAAGGCAAAAGGCAATGGTTGATAGAAATTGTTAGTTATAGTTAGGGAGGTGAAGGTCTTGCTATTATTAGAAGTTACATCTTTGTGTCTCAGTAGTTATATTCTATAAAGACTTGCTTTATGCCTACCTCCTAGGCTTTGAAAATTAGTAAGTTCTAAAACATAAATCCTACACAGAGCTAAACAAATATAATTCGTTAGCCCTGAATTTCCTAAAATTTATGCCACAGAATGTCAAAAAGTATTATACAAACAAAGTTCTATGATCTAAGCTTAGGAAACATTGGGTACAAAAACAATTTCTAACTAGATTCTAGAATCCTTTAATATAATTACATTTTATAGAGAACTTTTTTTTTTTTTTGGGGGGGGGGTCCGGTCGTGGGGCCTGAACTCTGGGCCTGGGTGCTGTCCCTCAGCTCTTCAGCTCAAGGCTAGCGCTCTACCACTTGAGCCCCAGTGCCACTTCAGGCTTTTTTTTTTTTTTTTTTGCTTATGTGGTGCTGAGGAATCAAACCCAGAGCCTCAGGCACGCAAGGCAAGCACTCTACCACTGAGCCACTTTCCAGCCCTAGAGAACTTCTTAGAACACAGTATCTCAAACTAATCAGTTGTTCATGGAGCCTCAAGTAACCAGTACTCTAAGAATTACTTCTAAGCATTGTTAAAGAATGTCTCTCAGCACACACACAATCAATTTTACTGGGTTGAAATCGCTTGTCCAAATAGGTATGATGCAATTATGATTAGCTACCTGAAATAGTCCTTAGGAAAAACCCTAATCTAGATAGCATATACACTTCAGTTAAAGAGTAATGGTCTATTGTGATGGTTCTAAATCCCTAACAGATTGATCCAGGTTTACCTATTTACAACTAGAATTTCCCCCAAGATCTATCTAAACAAAAATACCACCTCTTTCTAAAAAGGCTAGAGCAATTCAGTATCTACACTTGCAGTTAGCTATAGTGCTCATAAAACACAAACATGGGGAAAAATGAGAAAAAGCAATTTTATGATGCTAAAAGCTATCAGTCAGACAGGTGCCAGTGCTCACACCTGTAATCCTAGCTAATCAGGAGGCTAAGATCTGAGGATCGGGTTGAAAGCCAGTCCAGGCAGGAAAGTCCGTGAGACTCTTAGCTCCAATACACCACAAGAAAACTGGAAGTGGCGCTGCAGGTCAAGTGGCAGAGCACTCGCCTTGAGCTGAAGAGCTGAAGGACAAGGCCCAGGCGTAGAGTTCAAGCCCCACCACCAACCAGGGAAAAAAAAAAAGGCTATCAGTCATTTTCTAAATCTTACCTGCCCAATTCCTTTAGTTTTTTCTGAAATTTGCAGTGTACTTTCCACTGCCATTTTCCTTCCGGAGTGCTAAGTTCTTCAAGGAATGTCAAAAAAATTTGAAGGCTCTCTGTAGAGACAATGAAATTAATTTTTAATTCAGTCTACTACCATCTAAATTGTAGAAATGCTTGTTATTATATAAAAACCTACTTTCTTATACAGCTTCATTCATCATAACAGGTACTTTACATCTGATTTACAGGCACCTACTTCTAAAGACTAAGCAAATAGGCAAGAATGAGAAGTGATAAAAGCTCAGGAAAAGATGGAAGTGCACCAGATAATCTATGAACGGCACAATATAGATAATATATTAGAACAAGTCTCCAGTTTTAGTTTGTTCTCAAAACCTCGAAAAAAGCCAAGCACCAATGGCTTACATCCGTAATCCTAGGTGCTCAGGAGGTTGAGATTCAATGATCCTAGTTTTTATTTATCTATTTTTGGGTCCGGTTGTGGGCCTGAACTCTGGGCCTGGGCGCTGTCCCTCAGCTCTTCAGCTCAAGGCTAATGCTCTACCACTAGAGTCACAGCGCCACTTCCGGCTTTTTTCTTTTTGCTTATGTGGTGCTGAGGAATCGAATCCAGGGCCTCAAGCATGCAAGGCCAAGTGCTCTACCACTGAGCCATTTTCCCAGCCCGATTCTAGTTTTAGACAGCCAAAGAAATCAAATCTGAGAGAATCTTATCTCCAAGAAACCATCAAGAAGCTGGAAATGGAGGAGTGACTCAAGTCAAATAGTACCAGCCTTGAGCAAAAAAACTAAGGAAGAGATCAAAGACTGGAGTTAAAGCCTCAGCACCAGCATATAAAAAAATCAATAAAAGAAAAACTAGAAAAGATGGAAGAGGCAATACAATCCAAAAAGAGCAATCTTACCAATTGTGACAACTTCTGGATTTAGAATTGATTCATCAGATACAATAAAACCTCCAGATACAAATAATTCATTGTAGGTATGATTTTTAACATCATCCAGGCTGTCAACACCAGCAAAACTAACAGAGGGGAGTTTCTTTAAAGTCACCAAGCCAGGTACCTATTTAAATGCCAAAACAAAAATACAATTAAAGATGGATAAGGATTCAAATGTGAACTAACCTATGAGGAAAGCCTAATAAAATGCCATATAGTTCACCTATGTTAGTGAATTGTATCTGACAAGTCACTCTCAAAATTGTATGTCCAGTATTATTTCCCAAAATACACTAGTTTAAAATAGATCTGAAAACACAAAATGGACAAATGGTAACCTGTCTGTGACCTATGAATATAATCAGTATTTGACACAGGGCAAGGGATTCTATGCTGGGGAAGTCAAGAAACAGAAGAGGTAGGCTCATAAAATTGACTAAATAGCATTAAACCCAAGGGAAGAGGTAGACATATAAATGTACATGAGCGCAATAAGAGTTCCCACATCCCCTAGCATGCAGAATCAGTGCTTTTACTATTTGACTTGATCTGAGCAACAAAAGGATTGCAGAGATTTGCAGAGGTATAAATGACTCACTTGAATTTATGGATAGATACGTAAGATTTATCTTCCTTAAAACTTACTTTAAATAATAGTTAAGTTTTATTTCTATAGATAGTAAGATTTAGAAACAAAACAGTGACTACCTTGTGAATGAAACCTGCAATGTCTTCATTTTGGATAATAATCAATAGTTTATCTAGTTCTGATCGTCTTTCCAAAAACTGTTCTGGATGACATTCTGTATTGCCTAATTTGGTAAGATATTCCTGTGTAAGAAAAACAACTAAATCAGCATTAAAATGCTTTTTCATGGGTGAACAAATTCAGCAATAGTCACTAGACACTATGTTGAAAATTAACTATACTGTGGATGGAGATGGGAGGGAAAAAACTGGGGGAAAGCAAGGGAAGAGTAGCATTGTCCAAGAAGAAATGTGTGCATTACCTAACTTATGAAACTATAACCCCTCTGTACATCACCTTTATAATAACAACAAAGAATATAAAACAAAAATTTTTTTAATTCTTTTTTTAAAAAAGCTCTTTTGTACATATCGATGAAATGCTAGCAATTCAAGATAAACTGATAAAAAATCCACTTGTGGTTAAGTAAATTCTGAAAGTGGGAATAAACATTTAAAACTTCAGACATTAAAATCCTATAGTTAAATGAGCACTAGTTAGTAATACAAAACCAGGTATTATTTCAATGTGCTACAATTTATAATTCTATTGCCACCTAATTTTACATCTCAATGTCCATACCTAAGTGCATGCTTAGTGTACACTGGCAGGGGTGGAGAATGAACGTCTAGCCCAAAGGCCTGTAAAACCATTTGGTACATAATGGAACAGACTTGTGTTTGCTTGCTGTTAACTGCCCATTTCCTGTCTACCACTACTGGTAATTTTGTATGGCCTGCAATGGTACTACAAATATTCAAATACCCTGTAGAATGAAAGTTCCCAATCCCTGCTGGTAGACAAATATTTCTTATGGTCAATTGTATTTCATGATTGGGAAATCAAAGGACTATCACATTTTTTATCAAAAAAAGCTACAGAAAAATGTGATATGGCCAAGGTATTAAAAGCAATAAAAGAATTTATCAGGGGGCTGGGAAGGTGACTCAGTGGTAGAGCACTTGCCTTGCATACCTGAGGCCCTGGGTTTGATTCCTCAGCACCACAAAAGCAGAAAAAAAACAAAAACAAAAACCTGAAGTGGCGCTATGGCTCAAGTGGTAGAGTGCTAGCCTTGAGCTGAAGAGCTTAGGGACAGCGCCCAAGCCCAGAGTTCAGGCCCCACGACTGGACCACCCCCCCTAAAAAAAAGAATTTATCAGTAGCTGGGCACTGGTATCTCACAAAGGAAATGGAACTAAAGCTCAAGTGGTAGATTACCAGCCTTGAGCACAAACACTAAGGGACAGTGCCCAGTTGGGCACACACACAAAAAAGAGAGAGAATGCATCATTAGACCACCTTTGGACAGTTTTGTTTTACCATATGACCAATAAAACACCATATATAATGAACACTGGCAACTTACTGTAGCTTTGTATTTTTCCTTCTCCATCAAAAAACAGAAAACCAAATAAATCACATTTTAAACCTCTGAATCAAGTTTTAAAATATGTGCAGCACATACATATAGGATATTTTCATTTTTTGAGCTATGCTGAAGTTTGAACAAATACTAGGCAAATATTCTTGTCACTGAACTACATCCTGACACCCAAAGGTATGTACACAAATGTTCTTTAAATTTCACATCAAGTAAGACTCAAATATAAAATACTGTATCATAGGTTCTGGTTTAGTTCAATTAACTAATCTTTTATTCTATTCAGAATTGTCAAATTATAAAAATGTATGGTCAACTTTTCTAATTCCATTGCACAAAGGTCAGACCAATAAGACAATGTTTATAAACAGTACTATTACATTTCATATAGTTACCTTTATTTCTTTAGAGAGCATACACTCTTCTTCTTCATGAATATAAAACTTCACAGTATTTTTCTGGACATCTTTCATGATTTTAACCAAACTATTAAATACTTCAGGCTCTAATTGGCTTATAAAATTTGAAAGAGCTGGTGGGGCAGAAATGGTTATATCACTGGGCGATTTTGTTATTTCTTTTTCTAATGGTTCCCTAGCAATTTCACCAGGTACAATATGGTCTGAAGTCATCATTAATTCTGTGGCATGATGTGGCTGGTTCATTTCTACTTCAGTTAAAGTTGAAGAGGAATGTTGTTGTAGTTCATTGGAGTTCATGTCTTTTAATCCATCACTACAAAATGGCTCAAGGAGGTCTTTATTGTTGAAGTCACTTGAGGAAACGGATATGACACGCTTTCCCATCGTATTCAATGTTATTGTGGTACCAGAATCATTGACTGTTGGCAAATCCCAACCCCTGACTGATGCATTAATAGCAGTGTTTAGTTTTTCACACAAACCATCTACAAATTCCTGCATACCAGCTTTGTAAGTCTTAGAATATGTAAACTTAGAAAGTCGTTTCATCTTCTTTCGTGGTGTACAGTCAGGTGTACATGTGCTCCTAATATATGAAACATTTGTTTGCTTCAGAGTTTCTTCTAATTTCCTAGAAAAGACAATGAACTCTCCTAACACTGTTCTCTCTGTAGTCTCACTCACTGCTGAAGGCTCTGCTGCTGGCACACACTGCTCTTCAACTGTCATCACCTGACCTGTCAATACGTCATCCTCACTGGTGCGCTTTACTGTGTCTGTAAATGGAGAGGATGGAAACTGGTAATCAGAACTTCTCTGTCTATTTATTACCCGAGGGTCGTTAGGAAAAGTTTCCTCTGGTGGCAGACACACCAGTTGTTCTTCTGGTGATTTCACACCTACATAGGAAGAGTTTATTATTACAAGAGCAATCTAAAAACAACAGCATTCAAAACAACAACAACAAAATCCTCAAACCAGAGAAAAGGTCAATTATGTTTCAACTAATTATGCACTGGACAATCAACATTTCAAATGCAAAGTTTGTTATGTTCTGTACTTATGGGATAGGCTTTGGATTTCAGCAGACAGAACATTTGCTTTTTTTCAAAGTGTCAAAAAATACTCTGCATCAACAGTGGCTAAGTAATTTGCCTTTTCTGCTTCCCTACCAATTTGAAGATTGGGTTTTATCAATTCCTATACTCCTTACTGATATTACCTCAATGTTAGAATTATGTATAAGGCAACTGAAAGAATGTCAAAACTGAAATGCTGTGAGAGTAACTGCCTAGCATTTAGGATCTAAAAAAAATTAATCCTTTCAGACTGGCTATCACATATGGCTCGTGGATTTTGTGCAATGTGATCAACTTCATTTTATCAGGATTTGTGCAGTGTTATGGACTTCATTTTATCAAGCAAAAAAGCTCAGCAAGATAGTATGTTGAAAATGATCTGTACAACTTAGAGGGATGGAAAAGAGGTAGAAAAATGAGGGAAGGAATAACAAGTTATTCAAGAAATGTAATCACTATCTTACTTATGTAACTGTAAACCCTCTGTATATCAACTTGACAATAAAATTGAAAAAATAAAAAATAAAAAGACAAAAAGGAAACACGGGCAAATTAAAGTAATACCTTTCCTGGGCTGGGAATGTGGCTCAGTGGTAGAGTGCTTGCCTAGCATTCATGAAGCCCTGGATTCAATTCCTCAGTACCACATACACAGAAAAAGCCAGAAGTGATACTGTGGCTCAAGGGTTAAGAGTGCTAGCCTTGAGCACAGACAGGCTCAGGAACAACGTCTAGGCCCTGAGTTCAAGCCCCAGGACTGGCAAAAAAAAAAAAAAAAAAGAAGAAGTAATACCTTTCCTAAGTATTCTGATTTTGTTTGAACATAATTCCAATTCCAATCATAGATAAAGAGGTGTTTCAGTTAACCCATGCTACTGGGACTACTTTTTTGACTTGTGACAATCAGCTCAATCCATAAGATCAAAACATCTACCTTAAGTCATTTTTTTTTTTTGGGTCCGGTCATGGGGCCTGAACTCTGGGCCTGGGCGTTGTCCCTCAGCTCTTCAGCTCAAGACTAGCGCTCTACCACTTGAGCTACAGCGCCACTTCCAGCTTTTTTCTTTTTGCTTATGTGGTGCTGAGGAATCGAACCCAGGGCCTCATGCATGCAAGGCAAGTGCTCTACCACTGAGCCACCTTCCCAGCCCCCTTAAGTCATTTTTATGAAACAAGGTAAAATAATGAGGTATAGTGACAAACACCCATAATCTTGGTACTTGGGAGACTGAAAAAAGAGGATTCTGACATGGGCTAGCATAGAGACCATATTTCAAAAAAGGAAAAAGAATTATTACAAACACTTGTCATTGCACATTAAATAAAGAGCAACAAGTCTGGCCAAAAAAAACAGAAACAAAAACAAACACAAAAAGTATGGTAGCAAAAATTCCACTTGTCCAAGGAAAATTAAAACTGTGAAACTGGCAAAACAAAACTAAATATCCCAAATATACTCCTTAAATCTACAACATTAAAATGCAGTTCAGCACAGAATATGTCCCAAAGAAGCTAGTTATGGTGCCTCCTGACCTTGGCTCTTTAGAGATATAGATAGGGAGGATCCTTGATCCAAGGCCAGCCCAGGAAAATTGGAGCACTTATCCCAACAAAAAAGCTGTATGTAGTAGTGTTCATCTGTGATCCAGCTATGCAGGATTTCAGTCTAAAGCTACAAACAAACAAAACAAGCCCCACCCTGAAAAAAATCCCAAACCTCAAGACCCTATCTCAAAATTAAAACAAAAATAAGGCTGGAAGTATAGCTAAGTGCTAAATAATCAGGCTGAGTTCAAGCCCAGAAGGGCATTATAAGAAATTAGTAACAATGGGTGAATGGGTGAGCCACTGGAGGAAAAAAACTAAATGTATTTTTTTGTTGAGTATTTTTCTAACTTCTTGAAATTAATAAAAACCACTAATTTTAAAACTGTACTGATTTTTACAAATTCTCACTAGGTAGTCCAGGCTGGCCTAGAAAGGCTAGTCTCAAAAACCTCATAAACTTTTACCTCACACCTCAAGTCTCCCAAGAACTGCACAACCATGCCTGGTCTTGAATCATTAAACAAAAACCTCCTTCTCAAATGTATAGCTAAAGAGTGCATAAACAACATTGAGGCTTTGTACTACTTTTTCCTTCTTTCAGAAGGGCCATTTGGCAAGAGGAAGAAATAAGGAAGTCAGAAGTGAGAAGTGCATAGGAGGCTGCTGAAAGTAATCTGGATGCTTATTTTGGTTCTGGAGGTTTCAGATTTGAGTAAAAAAGGCCAAAAGAGGTTGGGCTCCAGATTACTGACCTGTGCCACTGTGTAACCTTATTTTAATTCTTTATTAAAAATTATCTTAAGGGTTTCAATTAATAATGTCAGTTTGTGAGTATATGGGATCTTGATCAATGCCATCCCTTTAATAATACCTCCCTATCCCCATCTCTCTCAATCCTACCCATACTTTCAATTTTCATAGCTCCATTTCCACAGCTGGAATATTATGATTACAACCATCTTTCTCTTCCTCTTTTCATTTGTTTAACCCTTCCCTATGGTCTTATCTCCCTGGTATTCATTTTGTGAAACTGTGAGTTAATTGTTCAAAAAAAAAATAACACATTAGAGTTCTCCTATACCTACAATATATGCATGACTGTGTGTATGTCCTCATATATAGTTACAATTTCCACATATGAGACAAAACATGTGTCCTTTGTCTTTCTGAGCCTGACTTACTTCACTTTTAAAATAAGAGTACGTATAACAATAAAATCGTAGGATATGAAGTCCAAAAAAATAAAAATAAAATGTATAGCTCAACTTCAGGGATGAAAATCAGCTTATTCCTGAATTTTTCTTTAAAATTTCTTTGACTATAACTTAAACCCAATTGGAGAAATTTCGTGTGTGTGTGTGTGTGTGTGTGTGTGTGTGTGTGTGTCTGTCTGTCTATCTGTCTCCTGGTTACTGTCCCTGAGCTTTCTGCTCAAAGCCACAGCTCCACTTTTAGCTTTTTGGTGCTTAACTGGAGATAAAGGAGTCTCACAGAAGTTCATGCAGGGCTGTTTGAGAACCCCAATCCTCAGATGTAAGCCTCTTTAAAGAGTAGCTAGGATTACAGACATGAGCAACCAGTGCCTAGCTCAAAAATTTCGTAAAAAGTTTCAATATAAACAGCTTAAAAAGACACCTATATATGAATATCCATAACCATGATTTTTTAAATCAAGTATCATTAACTCATTGCAGTATTTTGACTTTTTTGGGAGGGTGGGGGGTGGGATGTGGGGTTTGAACTCTGGGCCTGAGCACTGTCCCTCAGCTTTTCAGCACAAGGCTAGCACTCTATCAATTGAGCTATACTGCCACTTCTAGTTTTCTGAGTGGTTTATCAGAGATAAGAGTCTCACAGATTTTCCTGCCTGGGCTGGTTTTGAACTGCGATCCTCCAATCTCAGCCTCCTGAATAGCGAGAAATACAGGCATGAGCCACCAGTGCCTGGCTCAGTATTTTGACTTTTAAGCCAAAAGACTTATAAGACTTAAAGGAAGTTGTGAGTTCTCTAAAGGTGACATTATTGAGCTATTTGTACTTGCAGTTACAAAGTATGACTACAGTATCCCAAATAAGCAGAATGTACAATACCTACAGAGCATATAGAAGCATACCCATGGTTCCTAATGAGAAAGAATTACTGATAGACAGCATGCATGAAACCCTAATAGAAGACTGAGGTAAAGAATCAAACACACAAGGACTTGTGTGGGTTCCATTTGTCTGAGGTTCAAGAGGCAAAACTAAACCTATGGTAAAGTAAGTGAAATTAATCAATGGTTACCTGCTCTGAACAGGTGAAGTACAGACTGGAAAGATACAGAAGGAAATCTAGGGTGCTGAAAATATATATTGTCTTGGGTGGTGGTCACAGTGTATACAGATGTTAAGCTTCTATGAAATATATACTAAAATTTATAAACTTTACTGTATGTTATATTGGTTTTTTTTGGGGGGTCCGGTCATGGGGCCTGTTCCCAGCCTGTTATATTATTTTTGTACTTTATAAATCATCATTTTCTGGAGGAGCTAATTTTTTTTTTTAAATTCCAAAAGGGTTGGGGCTGGGGAGGTGGCTCAGTGGTAGAGTGCTTGCCTTGCATGCATGAGGCCCTGGGTTCGATTCCCCAGCACCACATAAGCAAAAAGATAAAAGCCGGAAGTGGCGCTGTGGCTCAAGTGGTAGAGCGCTAGCCTTGAGCTAAAAGAGCTGAGGGACAGCACCCAGGCCGAGTTCAGGCCCCACGACCCGACCCCCAAAAAAAAAATTCAAAAGGGTAGGATCTACTAAATCATTTAGTTTTCAGATTCAACTAAAACAAGCAAACAAACAAAAAAACACCCACATGCTTAAGATTTCTGTTGTGAGATACAAGCTACAAAAAAATGGAAACAAAAATATCACCACTCTTTAGCAGGAAAATAATGTCCAGAGTTGTCTGCATGGAATTGTCTTAAACTGTCTGGACATTATATAATAAATATTATATATAGGCTCCGGAGATTCTTATGTGATATTTTTCAGAAATGCATTAGGAACACATTACAAATCATTAT